CACCTGTTTGCCCTGGCTGTGGATGATGACCCTGAGGTGCGGAAGAATGTGTGCCGTGCCCTGGTGATGCTTCTAGAAGTGCGGATTGATAGGCTCATCCCCCACATGCACAGCATTATCCAGGTGTGCATGGCCAAGGCCAGTGCAGATGGGCAGGTGGGCAGCTGGGCAGCTGGCATGGGGACTGGGGAGCCACCTGCAATTGGGCTAGGTCTCAGCTTCTCCCCCACTTGCTCCAGTACATGCTGCAGAGGACCCAGGACCACGACGAGAATGTGGCCCTCGAGGCTTGCGAGTTCTGGCTGACGCTGGCCGAGCAGCCCATCTGCAAGGAAGTCCTCGCCTCCCATCTGGTCCAGTGAGTGTTGTTGCCTTTACCCCTTGCTGTACCTGTGCCTTCCCTTCTGGTTGGTCACCTCCTGAGCTTGTTCCAGTTCACGTCCTCTGTGTGTATTTACTTTCAATCCTATATAAGACTGTAGCTTTAAGGACTTAAAAAAATTAGATTGATGAGGCAAAAAATGAGCCTGGATCCTGGATCCAGGTGTCTGTCGGAAGGCCTCTCTCTGGTCTCAAATCTGATCTTTCTGCATTGGGCTTTATCCTCAGGCATGACCTCAGGGATTGTTGTGGTTTTCTACATCTTTTCAGCTTAGGAAATTCTTTTAAGTAGTATCTTTAACAAAAGTCTTAGAGCTGACCCTTTTTGTTTAGTTTTCTCAGTTCTGGGGATTGAATCCAGGAGCTCTCTGCCACTGTACGTCCCCAGCCCTTTTTATTTTTTCACTGGAGGCAGGGTCTGGCTGTGTTGCTCAGGCTGACCTGGAACTTGCCATCTTTCTGCCTCAGCCTCCTCCCCAGGGTTGCAGGTGTGTGCCACTGTCTGGCTAATGAGCTTAACCCTGAATCACTGTGTTTATGGGGAGGCTGTGGGGCTGGGCCGAGAGGGGTGGCTTCTGGGGAGTGATGTGACACCCTCGGGAGTAGGATGAGAAGGTTCTAGAAGAGTCTGCAATTCCAGCTCCAGTTGAGGGGACCATTCACTCTGCCTTTCACTTTCCCAGTGTGGCCTGGACTCAGCCATCTTAGGGAGGTGCCCAGGGCCTGAGTCACATGACCATACCTTATCACCTGATAAGGACCAGGTACTCTTGTAAGATTTTCAGTGTGTTTAGGGGTCTGGAATGGCCCTGGGTGGCCAGATCCAAGCCAAAGCTTTCCTGTAGAGCCAAGGAGGTATCACCTAACCATGGTGGCTGAAACTAGGTTGGGATAATTCCCCATAGGGAAATGAATGGCTGCAGGATGCACAAGTATCTGCATGCTTGGCAATGTCTGCCCCTTGATAGATGCTGCTGCCCGCACCTCTGCCGTCTCCTGCCCAGGCTGTGCGCCCCCGATGAGGGCCCCTGCACTATGACAAGCATCCTCTCTCCTGACAGGTTGATCCCCATCCTGGTCAATGGAATGAAGTACTCAGAAATTGACATCATCCTGCTCAAGGTCTGGCTGGGTCTGTTGGCTGCTGAGTGTGGGTTGTAGGGCAGAGGCGTTGGCTGGGTTTCCCCCGTGGTGCTGAGTAGTCTGCTGGCCTTGTCCCCAGGGGGATGTGGAAGAGGATGAGGCAGTCCCTGACAGCGAGCAAGACATCAAGCCACGCTTCCACAAATCACGAACAGTGACACTGCCCCATGAGGCCGAGCGACCTGATGGTTCTGAGGATGCAGAGGATGATGATGACGATGATGCTTTGTCCGACTGGAATCTGAGTGCGTGGCTCGGCCAGCCCTGGGGGTGTGGTGGCAGGCCCTATGATCCCTCTCTGAAGGTGACAAGATTCTGGTGCAGGCAGATCATGAAGAACTTACCATGATCTCTCATTGGGGAGACTGACCCCCCCCAGTGAAGCAGGGCCAGCTTCCCGCACATTGAGTATTCCTCATCCCATCTCCCAATTGTCCTCCCTCAGGGAAGTGCTCAGCGGCTGCACTGGATGTCCTCGCCAATGTCTTTCGGGAGGAGCTGCTGCCTCACCTCCTCCCACTGCTCAAGGGCCTCCTGTTCCACCCTGAGTGGGTGGTCAAAGAGTCAGGCATCCTGGTGCTGGGCGCCATCGCTGAGGGTGAGTCCTCTGTCCACCCGCATCCTGGGTGTGCCCCTGGCTTGTCTGTACTTCCTGCACACCGGCCAGAGTCTGGGACTGGATACAGCACTGCTTAGCACTCTTCAGACCCCTCTAGAGTCCCAGTCATCCCCTTGGCCCGTGGGCCCATAAGGAATCTCCAAAACCCTAACATGCATTCTCTCCGGCAGGCAGGTCAGCGATGTTGTAAGTGTAATTGCAGCAGCTGCAGCTGTGACAACAGGTTCCTCTGCAGTGCTTCTCTCACAGTAGGGCCACCCAGGCCAGGTCCCCATCAATGAACTTGCCCAGTTACCACCATCTGCTGAAGGGCGTGCCAGAACCCCAAGTTCATAGATGGGGAAAATGAGGGTCACAGAGGTGACCATACCACCATTTCCCTGCTGTCACCCAGGTGCGTCAGAATGTCACACCTGATCCTGGCTGCTAGACTATCCTGACAAAAATGGAAGGGCTCAGTGGTGGACACAAAGCATGACAATCTGATGCAGGTGTCATGTGTGACCATGTCAGCAAACAGAGCTGTCCTAAACATTTCAAACATGGAAGCGGGAACTCTCAAGCTAGAGAGCCTTTAAATTTTTTCTGAGGAGGGCAAGGGGTGGAGCTCAGTGATAGGGCACTTGCCTGGCATATGAGAGGCCTGGGGTTCCAACCCCAGCACCAAAAAAATATTTTTATTTTTTTTCCTAAGAAAAGGTTTCTGGGCACTGCATCCCGTGTTAATAGGATCTGTCATTTTCGAAACAATGTAAGTGTATGTTAGGTGCATTTCATGTTGATGGGGAAGACAAAACTAGAGGAGGTGGTGCCGGGCTGGTAAGAACAAATCTTATGTGTTTGATAATTGGGGGGATAAGTTATTCTTAGTGTTCTTTTGAGGTAAGAAAGTGGTGCTCTGCCTGGTATGGTGGCACACCTTATAATCCCAGCAACTCGGGAGGCTAAGGCAAGAGGATCACTAGTTCAAGGCTAGTCTCAGCAACTCCGAATGAATAGGAGACATTATTACATGTATGATTGCACAACCGGTGTGACTGCATTGTGTACCACCAGAGGACTGAGAAGTTGTGCTCTATTTGTGTACAATGTGTCAAAACACATTTTACATGTAGAACTAATTAAAACAAATTTTTTAAAATTAAAAAAGGGGGGTGCCTGTGGCTCAGCGGTAACACATTTGCCTGACATGTGTGAGGCACTGGGTTTAATTCTCAGCACTGCATATAAATAAATTTAAAAAAAAATAAAGGTCCATCAACTAAAAAAAAAAATATGAAAGGTGAGAATGAATGAATGTAAGATTACTTTGAAAGCCAAATAACTAAATAAATAAAGAAAAAATAAATAAATAGGGCTGGGGTTGTGGCTCAGTGATGGAGTCCTTACCTAGCATGTGTGAGGCACTGGATTCGAACCTCAGCACCACTTTAAAAAATGAATAAAATAAAGGTATTGGGTCCATCTACAACTATAGATAGATGATAGATAGATAGGTGGGTAGATAAAACTGCTGGGGATGTAGCACAGTAATAGAGCACCCCTGGGTTCGATGCCACATATACACTAAATGTGATCCTCATGTCTTTTTTGTGGTATGGGAATTGAACCCAGGTACATTCCCCCTGAGCTATATTCCCCAGCCTTTTATTATTTGAGACAGGGTCTCCTAAATTGCTGTGGCTGGCCTTCAACATGTGAGCCTCTTGCTTCATTCAAGTAGCTGAGATTATAGGCATCACGGTGTGCAGCTGATGCTTATGGGTTTTTTGTTTTGGTGGGGTTCTTTTTTTTTTGTCTTTTTTGGAACTGGGGGTCGAACCCGGGGTTTTGTGAATGCAAGGCAGACGCTTTGCCACTGAGTTACATCCCAGCCCAGTTTTTTGTTTTGTTTTGTTTGGTACCAGGGATTGAACCTAGGAATACTCCAACACTGAGCCATATCCCTAGCCCCCCCCTTTTTTTTTGACATCTTATTTAGAGACAGGGTCTCACTGAGTTGCTTAGAGCCTCTCTAAATTGCTAAGGCTGGCTTTGAATCCATAATCCTCCTGCCTTAGTTTCCCAAGCCAGTGGGATTATAGGTATGCACTATTACATCCAGCTGATGTTCATGATTTTAAGAAAAGAGAGAGTATGGCTAAGTGATAAGAGTATTTTTCTAGCACACTTGCCTAGTATGGTTTCCATTCCCATTATCAGAAAAAATTAGGGAAAATGAAGAGTAAAAGAAAATGCATAAACATCTAAGAATGGTTTCTTTCATGTGAGAAGTACTTCCCATCCATTTGGATCATTGGGCTACCCCATAGAGCTGATGAGCTCAGCGGTCCTGTGGATCTTGAATTGATAAGTGACTGGATAACACATCCCCCAGATGCCATATGCCTGCTCTGTCCCCATCCTGCCCTTGCCTTTCTTGGGCTCTGTGAAAAGACTCTGGGCCATTTATGAACCTTAGAGCCTCAGTTTCCTCACCTGTCAGGTGGGGTTCATTCCTTCTTTCTATATGGGTTGGTATGCCTGGGCCTAGCTGTGCTCAATCAGACCATCCCCTTTTGTCCCCTGGTCCCTGTAGGCTGCATGCAGGGCATGGTGCCCTACCTGCCTGAGCTGATCCCACACCTCATCCAGTGCCTATCAGACAAGAAGGCCCTGGTCCGCTCCATCGCCTGCTGGACATTGAGCCGCTATGCCCACTGGGTGGTCAGCCAGCCCCCAGACATGCACCTCAAGCCTCTGATGACGGAGCTGCTCAAGCGCATCCTGGATGGCAACAAGAGGGTGCAGGAGGCAGCCTGCAGGTGATCTTTAACCCCTGAGCTTGCAGCAACCCCCTCTTGGTCTCTTTGCTTTCTGGGAAGTGATGACACCTGTGACCGCTGACCTGGCCCTGATTTCTCTTGTATTCGTACTGGCTGATCCTATGTGCACCCTTCCCAACTGCATGACGAGTACCACCTGCCAGGGTCCACTAAGCCCTCCACCCTGACCCCCTCCACCAGTGCCTTCGCTACCCTGGAGGAGGAGGCCTGCACAGAGCTGGTGCCCTACCTCAGCTACATCCTGGACACCCTTGTCTTTGCCTTTGGCAAGTACCAGCACAAGAACCTGCTCATTCTCTACGATGCCATCGGCACTCTGGCTGATTCTGTGGGCCACCATCTCAACCAGCCGGTGAGACCCCAGAGTAGCCCCCTACTCCCCATCCTGGTGCCCTTTGGCATCTGGTGACCTGGCGGTGACCCTGTGTCACACGCCAGGGATGTGGCCATGACCGAAACAGGCAGACAGACCCACCTGGTCCCCGCCCTCGCACTGCTCCCAGTCTAGGGGGGAGACAGACAGTTTTGAGATAGCATGGTAAGTGCTGTGCTCGGGGAGTGCAGGGGCCTGTGGGAACCAGAGGTGCCGATCCAGGCTTCTGGGTGGGGGCAAGGGTTGAGGGGATAATGCTCTGGACAAACAGATGAGAACAAGAAGGGCCTCTGGCTGCACGGTGAGGCCTTGCAGAGCCCTGTGAGCCACGGCAAGGAGTCCAGGTCTCATCATTCAGGTGACAGACTTCTTTAAGTCACAGACCCCCACCCAACCCAGGGAGCCCAACTTCCACTCCCCCTCCAGGAATATATCCAGAAACTGATGCCCCCGCTGATCCAGAAATGGAACGAGCTCAAGGATGAGGACAAGGACCTCTTCCCCCTGCTGGAGGTGAGTGGCTCAGGTCCCCTCCCCTAGGACCACTATCTCCTGCCTGAGTTCACCTCACCTCCTCTTCCCTGCCAGTGCCTGTCATCGGTGGCCACCGCTCTGCAGAGCGGCTTCTTGCCCTACTGTGAGCCTGTCTACCAACGTTGTGTCACCCTGGTGCAGAAGACACTGGCCCAGGCCATGGTGAGCATCCTCTACCCACTTACCCACCCATCAGCGCTGCTGCTACCCAGGCCCCAGCCTGTTCCCCTCACCCACCTCCCCACCCCCACCTATATCCAGATGTACACCCAGCACCCTGAACAATATGAGGCCCCAGACAAGGACTTCATGATTGTGGCACTGGACCTGCTCAGTGGACTGGCCGAGGGCCTGGGTGGCCACGTGGAGCAGCTGGTGGCTCGAAGCAACATCATGACATTGCTCTTCCAATGTATGCAGGTAGGTGATGCCCCAAGCAGCCCACACCCCATCCCTGCTATCCCCAAGGAGTGGCAGGGAAGCAGTCCTTTACCTGGCCAGTGACAACATTCAGTAGCCCATGTGGGCTTCCCTGGGGGACTCGGCCATAAGTTGTGCCAGAGAACAACAGAGAAAGAGGGCCTTTAAAAAAGGCTCTGAGCCAGGCATGGTGGTGTATGTCTGTAACCCCAGTAATGTGGGACGCTGAGGCAAGAGCACTGTAGGTTCCAGTCCAGCCTGGGTAACTTAGCAAGACCCTATCTCAAAATAAAAGGGCCAGGATATAGCTAGGTGATATAGCATCCATGGTTTAATCCCTAGTCCCACTAAAAAAGAAAAAATGGCAAACGGGTGGGGGCATAGCTCTGATAGAGTGCAGCTGGATTCAATTTTCAGTACCGAGGAAAAAAGAATTGAAAGCACACATCCTGCCTTGCACACACACCCAAGAACATTCTTGGTATTTCTAGGTTTCATCTACAAAGATGTCAGTGATAAGCAAATAGTTGGTTAAATTGAACTGTTTAAGAAAGGATGTCAAGGAAAACATTCTGTGTGTGTTTAGTCCACTTGGATTTTTTTTTGTTGTGGTGGTGGTGCTGGGGATGGAACCTAGGGCCTCAAGCATGTTAGGCAAGTAATCTACTATTGAGCCATATCCACACTCTGAAACGGGACAAGAGCATGGGACTAGTGCTAGGCGGGGTGGCGCACACCTATAATCCCAGCAGCTCAGAATGCTGAGACAGGAGGATAGTGAATTCAAAGCCAGCCTCAGCAAAAGCGAGCTGTTAAGCAACTCATTGAGACCCTGTCTCTAAATAAAATAAATCCCCAGTAGCCCTCCACCAAAAAAAAAAAAAAAAGAGCAGGAGACTAGAGTGGCTAAGGAATAGCATTGAGCAATGGCACATTCCCGTCACCTCAGCTATTCAGGAGGCTGAGGCAGAAGGATTATAATGAGGTTTTTTTTGTTGTTGTTGTTGTTTTGTGGATCTTGGGGATTGACCCAGGGTGCTATACCACTGAGCCACATCCCCAGCCCTTTTATTTTGAGAGGATCTCACTAAATTGCTTAGGGCCTCAACTAAATTGCTGACAGTTTAGTATCTCAAAATAAAAATGGCTAGAGGTAGAGCTCAATGGGAAACTCCCCTTATTCCCATCTCCATTCCTGAAAAGTCAGTGTTCAGGGCCAGGATGTACTACCCTGTCCCTTCTCCTGCCCCAGGACTCAATGCCTGAGGTCCGGCAGAGCTCCTTTGCCCTCCTGGGAGACCTCACCAAAGCCTGCTTCATCCATGTCAAGCCCTGTATTGGTAAGTCACTGCCCTCAACCTGTGACCCCAACCCTGGCCTCAAGTGATGGAGACACACTGTGGGAGAACCGTGACCGTATTGGAATGTGTTCGTACTGTCTGATGGGCTTGCCCAGCTAGTTGCAGGAGCTTACCGTGGCTGGCCTTCCTTCTCAGCACTCCTGTTTCTCTCCACCAGCTGAGTTCATGCCCATCCTGGGCACCAACCTGAACCCTGAATTCATCTCTGTCTGCAACAATGCCACCTGGGCCATTGGGGAGATCTGCATGCAGATGGGTGAGTGCCCTGAAAGAGGGCAGGCCGGCCATGTCTCCTCATGGAACTGCTCTGGGTTTCCCTTGGGGTTGGAGCCAAGTGGCTGAAAAATCATTTGTGATTTGCTTTCCCGAAAGGGCGGGACAGGAGGGCTGTTTGTATTGGACTGTGTTATGTAGTTGCTGAAAGCCCTATTGGATTGGTTGGGTGACTTTAGCCTCTTTTCCTGAAGAAGTACTGGGTGGTGTCATGTCATCATGGAATTCAGTGGTGACTGCAGGGGAGCCTCTGGTGTTTGGAGGATGTGGGTCCGTCTCTGGTTGACCATGATTCTGAGCTGAGGAACAGCAAGAGAAGGGCCTTTGTGCCCTCAGCAGTTGTGGTTGGCCAGTCTAGGGATGGAACTGGGGTCAGTGAGGTAGAGGGGCTATACCACTGATTGGCTCAGAGTGGGTGGTGTAGGCTGTGCAGGTTTCTGATTGGCTGCTTCCCTAGGGGCAGAGATGCAGCCCTATGTGCAGATGGTCCTCAGCAATCTGGTGGAGATAATCAATAGGCCCAACACACCCAAGACACTGCTGGAAAACACAGGTGGGTGCCAGGCCTGGGCCACTGCCCTTTGCCTTCCTCTTTGAGGTGGGGTTCTGCACTGGGAAGGGAGCCATTGAAAATCTTGGGAAAGAAACCAGGAGGGGTGTCTGGTATCTAGAAAGGGGTTCTGGGAGAAGCCCAAGAAAAATGCTGGCCTCAGGGAGACCTTGGAAGAGATCCAGGCTGGGCCATGCTTAGGGGCCCAGGCTGGCTGCAGGAGCCATTCCCTTGGGGCCCATGGGGCGGGACTCGGTGCCTCGTACCAGAGGCCCCGCCACGTACCGTCCCGGGGCCACTCGGGGTTGCAGGTCGCCTGACGAGTCCCTCTGCCATTCCAGCCATCACCATTGGCCGCCTGGGCTACGTGTGCCCACAGGAGGTGGCACCCATGCTGCAGCAGTTCATCCGGCCTTGGTGTGTGCCCTCCTGGGTGGGGCCTGGGCAGTGGGGTGGGTGGGACAGGCAGGCCTGACCACTTCCCTTGGCTGTGTCCCCGCCCTAGCTTACCCCCGACAGATGCATGACCCAGAGCTACCCCCTGAGGCCCTGCTCCCCTGTCCCCCACTGTTGTACATTCAGTGCCAGTCCCCCCCTCTGACCCGCTGCCCACCTTCCTGCAGGTGCACATCCCTCAGGAACATCAGGGATAACGAGGAGAAGGACTCTGCCTTCCGGGGCATCTGCATGATGATTGGTGTCAACCCCGGGGGTGTTGTGCAGGTCGGGCAGCTGGGCTCTGAGGGCAGGGTGGGAGCTGGCTCGGGCGGTCCCTCACATGGGATCCGTCACGTTTCAGGACTTTATTTTCTTCTGCGACGCTGTAGCCTCCTGGGTGAGCCCGAAGGATGACCTTAGGGACATGTTTTATAAGGTGAGGCTCCAGCTCAGCCCTGATTCTTTCCTGGGAGAGGGTGGGAGGAATCTCTGGCCATAGGGGGACAAAGCCAAGTTTGGCTGTGCCCTAACCCTAACCCTTCACTCCTACCTCACCACAGATCCTCCATGGCTTCAAAGACCAAGTTGGGGAGGAAAACTGGCAGCAATTCTCGGAGCAGTTCCCGCCACTGCTCAAGGAGAGGCTGGCAGCCTTCTATGGGGTCTAGGCTCATGTGGAGACTGTCAGGTGAGTAGAGTGGGTTTTGCCACCCAGGGCTGACTGGCCAAACCCACGCATGCCCTGACCCTCCCTTTCCCCTGCAGGTTTCTGTCTGCCTCATCGTCTGAGGGATTGCTGGGGAGCACGCTGCGTCCAGAAGTCGCTGTGCCCTGTTCCAGGGGGGTTAGGGAGGAGTGAGCGGGACCCAAATCCAGACGCCTTCCCAGTCCGTCCAACCGTCCACTTGCCCCACTAGGCCTGTGTGGCCGGCGCTTGGGCAGGTGGGTGGGGCCTCCACGCTCATCCTACAAACAGGGAGGGGGGTGGGACTTCTTGGCAGGCAAGAGCCCCCAGGCTCTAATGGGGTCATCTCGGGCAGCCCACCTGGGCCAGCCACATGGGAGGGAGGAATCAACACAGCCGACTGAATCCGGCTTTGGATGAGGCGAGGGGATCGCAGGAGGGGAGGGGGGTCCTTGTAGAGACGCGTACACACACATGGCCACACGCATGTGCAGGCACCGCAGCCAGCCAGGCTGGGCCAGCCGCCCCACCATTTCCCCGACTGCATGGAGACAGTAGAATTAGTGAACCCCTGAGTTAAGCCGTACGGCCTTCCGTGTAACCTGCATCTAGAGTATAAGAAGCTTCCGCTGTTTTGCCGGAATCGGCGGTGATTGGGAGGGCTGGGGGGGTTGGGGGAGCCTCAGCCGGGATGAGGGGAGGAAGATGGCCACTTTGAGGCCGCCCCGTCAGCACGCGCACGCTTTGGACCTGCTCCATACTTTCCTGCCAGCTTCGTGGCAGCCTCAGCCAATGTGTCCCCATCTTAGTCCCATCCCAGCCAGCAGAGTGGGGACCACCAGAGTGACCGGAGCTGGTCCGAACTCGCCATTTTGCTCCCCGTGCTCCAGTGGTATTTGTGCTCCCAGCACTGGCCTGGGGTGTTCCTTTCCTGAGGAGCTGGGACAGAGCTGCTAGTACCTAGCCCTGTATCTCTTGTGGGAAGGAGCTTCCAGGGCAGGCTGGTTCTCTGCATTCCTGAGAACCCCCTGAAGTGAGTGGGGGGGGGTCTCTAGCTGGTGATGATATTGGACAGAGGTTTATGCAAGAAGTAACCCCAGAGCTTGGAGCAAGGGAAGGTGGAATGCCCCTGGCCCCCACTTTATCCCTCTGGGACTTCCTGCTCATCACAGTGCCCAAGGGGCTTAGACCCCACCAGACTGGGACAGCACTTCTATAGAGAACCTTCTCAGATTGGTTGAGGGTGCAGTCAAGGTGGGAGGGGGCTCCCCTGGAGAAGGGGGTACAGTTATTTCTGAGTTGGCTGGGAAACTGGGCCCTGCAGACCCCTTCACGTCATTTCTTTTTCTTTCCTGCATTCTACTACTTTGGGGGCCCCTTGTGTTTTGGGGTTTGACTGGAGTCCTATATCCTATGGCCTGTTCCATCTATCCCTCCAAGGCCCTGGATCCTACCCTGGCCAGGTGTCTTCTCAGATAGGGTCAGGCCCTACCTCTATTCCAAGGGGTACTTAGTGCACATTCCATAGTTGAGCTGTTCCTGCCCCCACCCCTACCCCACCAAAACTTGAGCAGGTCTCTGGAAGCCATTTGTAAAAAAAAAAAAAGAAAAAAGAAAAAAAAAGAAAAGAAAAAAACTTTTTAATACCATTTAGTTTTCTGCTAATTCCACTTTGGAGCATCCTCCACTGAGTCTTGCAGTATATGGATGGATTGGCTATCTGATGGAATTGGTAACCCCCTTTCCATCAAAGATGGGGGGCTCTAACCACCTTCAGGGAAGGGGAGCCTGGTTCTTCTACTTTTTCTTTTCTTTTATTCTCTTTTTTTTTTTTTTAAGAAAGCTATTTAATTTTTTAATTTATTTTTGGTTGGTTTTTGCACAATGAAGTTTCAGCTTCTCAACTTTATTCCCTATCTAGGGCTGTGGACCCAGATTGGCCTTGATCCACAGTCCCTCTCCCCTTGCCCCAGGTCCCTCCTCACCCTCTTTTCCCTGCAGGCTCCCAGGTCTGTCCATTTGTTACCGTGCTGTGCTGGGGATTGGCGCCAAGGTGGCGTGAGATTCCACTTGTGTAGAACTTTGTTGAGTAAAGATCAGTTTCTTGTGAAACCTTTGGTCTCTAGTTTCTTGTGTCCTTGGCTTTGGTAGTGGAGGAGGGCCTGAGGTGCTTTAGAAATGGGAACAGAACTGCAGTCAGGAAGTATTTGAGGGAACCAAAAAGTAAGAAGAGGGTGCTTATCACTGAATCACATCCCCAGGACTCTCACACAGTCTTTTAAATTAAAACACATTTCAGGGCAGGTTCTCATTAAATTGCTCAGGGCCTCAAGTTGCTGAGGCTGCCTTTGAACTCATGATCCTCCTGCCTCAGCTTCTGAGTGGGATTACAGGTATGCACCACCATCCCTGGCTTAAGCGTTAACTTGAAACCTCAAACCTGTTTTCTTCCTTATAAGATATAAGGGTGAATGTGGAAAGGGAAAGCCTTGCTTAGGGTCTCACTAAATTCCTGAGGCTGTCCTTGATCTAGCAATCCTGCCTCAGCCTCCAGAGTTGCTGGGATTACAAATCTTGTCTGTAGACAAGAATTGCTGTCCCAGGGGTGCACCTTTGCAATCCCAGCTAACTAGGCTGAGGTGGGAGGATTCCGAGTTAAAGGCCAGCCTGGGCAATACAGCAGGATTCTATTTCAAAAACAAAAATCTCCAACAGTGTTTTGCTGGCCCAGCCCACCGGGTGGCCCTAGAGCACCAAAATGTTTCCTGGCTCCTTAGGTGTCATTCTTCAGGGCTGAGGTTGTGGCTCAGTGATAAATCGCTTGCTTATCACGTGTGAGGCAGGGGTTCCATCCTAAGCACCACATAAAAATAAAGAAAAAGGTATTGTGTCCATCTACAATTTTCAAAAGTCATATACAAAATAAAGTAGTCTTCATAGCCCACAGGGTGCTGCTAGGCAGCCTCTTGGGACTACCTATTCCTTAGCGACCGCCTCGGGGCTGGAGGTGGAACCCAGGGTCTCCCACACGCTACGCCAGTGCTCTACATGCTCAGCCCACGGTTTTGGTTTTGGTTTTTTGGTGTGTGAGTGTGCTGCTGGAGATGAGCCCAGCGCTTCGCGCCTGCCAGGCCGCTCTACCACGGAGCGGTATCCTCTGAAGGCTCATCCCGGCACCCGGCCTGTGGTACTGGGGCAAGCGAAAAAGCTGCGGCGCGGGGACGACCTTCAGGACAAAACTGGCTCCGCAAGGTACACCAGAGATGCTGGTTTAAAAACGCGGTACCGTGAGTCCGGGTTCTCCAGTTCAAGGCCGACGCTTTCAGAGACAGGGTCTAGGGCCTCGGCCGGTTTCCCTGCGAGCCTCTCGGTTCCGGCCGGCAACGTCATCAGACAGCGCCGGAAGTGTCCCCACGCTACCTAGGAGACAGGACGCGGAGCCTGGCGTTGACAGGGCTCTGCCGGCCGCGCCCACCGGTCGCCATGGAGCTTCCCCCAGGGCCGTTCGACAATCCCCGCGCTTGGGACGATGACTCGGAGCCGGAGCCGGAGCCGGAGCCGGAGCCCGACCCCGACGCCCAGGCCGAGGCCTACGTGGCCCGCGTACTCAGCCCGCCGAAACCCGGGCTGGCTGCCCCGCGCGCCCCGCTGCTGTCCACGCCCTCCGCGTCCCCCGGCGCCCTGGAGCCAAAGGCGGCGTCCAAGAGCCCGACTGCGGGTACGCCCGGCCTGCTGAGCCTTCCCCCGGAGCTGCTGCTCGAGATCTGCGCCTACCTGGATGCGCGCCTGGTGCTCTTTGTCCTGCCGCGCGTGTGCCACACGCTGCGCGACCTCGTGCGTGACCATGTCACCTGGAGGCTACGCGCGCAGCGCCGCGTACGCGCGCCCTACCCGGTGGTAGAAGGTGCGCGCACCTGGGGGTCAGGGACGCCTTCCCAGGTCAGGCTTGGGGTGGGGGGAAAGGGACCTGGGTTGATGTGGGCACAGCTCTTGGGACAGGCTTCACGGCGTTTTGGCCCTGGCTGGAGCCTGAGGTAGTTTCTGATGGTGCCACAGTCCCTGATCTTTGGGTGGACCATAAGGCAGACTCGTGGGTTCCTGATACCTTTGGAACGGGGGTCCCTGAACTCACTATTAAGGATTCTGAGGCTTGGGGTTTGCTGGTACTAAGGCCCTGACACCTGGTTTGGAGTAACCCGAGCTGTGCTTGGACTGAGAGTAAGCCTGGAATTCTTAGGCTGAGGTGGCAATTGGTGATGCCAAATCCCTTGAGCCCTAGAGACTTAACCCTGGAGGACAGAGGTTCCCAGTCTAGAGCCCGCAACACGCCTAGGGCTTAGGGGCTGGGATCCTCGATAACAGCAATCACAGATCTTCAAGTCCTGGGTCTAGCCTGTCATCTTAGGCAGGGGCTAATGGTCACTCCTCCTGCCCTTAAGTTCATTGGTCCTTGAGGAAGAAGAAAGCCTGGGGATCTTGAATTGATATAGTTGATCTTTTAAAAAAAAAAACAACCTTTATTTATTTTAGTTGTTGATGGACCTTTAGTTTTTATATGCCATGCTGAGAATAGAACACAGTGCCTCACACATTGGAGGCAAGTGCTCTACCACTGAGCCACAACCCAGCCCCAATATAGTTGATCTTGATATTGGATCATCAAGCCCTTGAGCCAACATGAGTAACAAGCTGGGTGGTTGATGACCCTCACTTGCAAGCTTTGATTTTTCAGGAGCTTTTGGATCAGCAATTCTCAAGGTGTTTCCATCTGACCCATTGAATCTCTGTACTTGGTAGCTGGATTCTGTTTTTGTCTCCTGTCCTGGGGATGGAACCAAGGACCTCATTCATGCTGAGCAAGCACTTTGCCACTGAACTACACAGCCCCACCCCCCTTGGATTCTGCATCTTACAAAGCTCCCAGCTTCATGCATAGTAGTTGGAGAAACACTTCCCTGAGTCTGATTCAGGTGGCTGAAAATTTGTCATGAGTTCCCAGCCTGAGGATTGAGGGGCTGAAGCCAGATCTCAGCCAGGGGTGAGACAGACCGTAACTTCCTGAGGATGCTGTCCCTCAGGGTTGGGTTGTAAGGGTAGGCCTGGAAAAGTAGTCTTGAGGTCCCAAGTTCTGTAAGGTCCTAGACCTGCCTGAGAGGTGGGTATGTAGGTGGGCCCAGAATTGAAGCTTGGCCTACTTGGGGTAGGTGAGAGGTTCGGGTGGGATTCTGTTCAAGTCTGGTGTAGGTTGTGATCCCTGGAAACCAGAGGTGGGCTCTGCCAGCTGGTGTCCACTGGGGAACCTGCTCATGGTGCCCCACAGAGGAGGACTTTGACTGGCCGGCAGCCTGCATTGAGCTGGAGCAGCACCTGGCCCACTGGGCAGATGATGGGCGCCGGGCTGAGTACTTCTGCTTGGCTGATGGGCACTTTGCTTCTATTGACACTGTGCTGCTGCTCCAGGTGAGGTGGGCTCGGTGGGGGGGCGGGCAGGGGTGGATCAGAATGGCTCCAACAACATCAACTTGCTCCCTTCCTAGGGTGGGACACTCTGTCTGTCGGGTTCCCGAGATCGCAATGTCAACCTGTGGGACCTGCGGCAGCTGGGGGCAGAGCCTAGTCAAGTTCTGGTCAAGGCCTTGGGCACTCAGCAGAATAGCACCCACAAGGTGAGAGGACAGGAAGAAGACGCATGAGGCCTGGGTTGGGTGCTGTGGTTAAGGGCCTGGGTTTTGATGCTGGACTCTGTAACATTGAATCTCACTCTGCTATTGTTGGTGTGACTTTTGGTGAGATGTGTGATACTCTGGGTCTCAGTTTCCGCTTCTGTCCAGCGGTCAGTTAGTAGGATGATGAATGGAGATGAATTATGCATTAATATAAAAATGCATGAACCTCAGGATTTGCACACAATAGGTGCTCAGAAGAGGTCAGGTGTGCTGGGCATGATGGCACAGGTCTGTTTTCCCAGCAACTCGGGAGGCTGAGGAAGGAAGATCACAAGTTCAAGGCCAGCTCCAGCAACTTAGCAAGGCCATTTTTCAAAATATAAAAAGGGCTGGGATATAGCTCAGTGGTAAAGTGCCCCTGGGATAAATCCCCAGCACAAAACAAACAAACAAACAAAAAAATAGATTCAGGTAAATCTCAAGAGGTAAAGTATGGGGCAGTGTGAGGCTTCCCTTTGGGATCAGCCAGCCTCAGCATGACTGTCCTTTCCTGAGAAGTGACTGAGGGGTGGGGCCACTACCAGTCATCCAGGCCCACAGTTGACAGACTGGGGGCTGGATTCGCATCTCATTCTGCTACACCCTGCCTATGTGACCTTGAGTGAGAGACTCAACCTTTCTGTGTCCATTTTCATCATTTATAAAACAGGGTGCGAGCCAGGTGCATCGGTGGACACTCAGGGAGCTGAGGCAGATGGATCATAAATTTGGGACCAGCCTCAGCAACTTAGTGAAACCCTGATGGAAAATAAAAAAAATAAAGAGGGCTGGGCTGGAGGCCAGTGGTAGAGCACCCCTGGGCTCAATCCTCAGTACAGCCCAAACCAACCAACCCACCCAACCACAAAGCAGGGCACATTACAATGCTTTCCTCAGAGGGCTTGGCGAGAGTAAGCCATTCAGTTTCCAGCACTCTGGGTGTGAATGTGATTGGGGGTGTGACCCATGCTTGTCTCTAATGTCAAACAGACCCCCTCACCCAAACCGAGATCTCATCCAGGTCGGACGTGCTCTGGCTCCTCTCTCCCTCCTCTGATCCTGACTGTGTCATCTGTGAGATGGGATAATCACATGGAAGCAGACCTACCCTAGCATCTGTCAAAGTGGGTGTCAGGGAGGAAAAACTGTGTGGCTCTGAGTGAATCTGTTGATCTCTCTGAGCCTCATCTGCAGAAGCAGAAAGGTGCCACTCAGCTTGTCCCCTGGGCTGTGGGCAGGAGCAGGTCCTGAGCTCACTAGATGGGGAGCCATGGGTGACTGCTGTGTCTGGTCCTGCAGGGCTGGGTGTGGTCACTGGCCTCTCAGGACCACCGCGTGTGCTCCGGCTCCTGGGACAGCACTGTGAAGCTGTGGGACATGGCAGCTGATGGGCAGCAGTTCGGCGAGATAAAGTGTGAGGGGGCCTGGGCAGGGGGCCTGGGTGGGTAGAGCCATGCCAGGTCACCTCCCCAGCCCTGTGGTCTTTGTGTCCCCAGGGGCAGGGCAGCAGTGCTGTGCCTTTCCTACCGGCCTGACGTCCTGGTGGCTGGTACCTACGACAAGAAGGTGACCATCTACGACCCCAGAGGTGGGCTGGGAGTTCTGGAGCCCAGGTGGGGAAAGCAGGGCCACCTGGGGTCTCCAGAGTCATATTGGGAAAGGAACACTCTGGCCTCAGCCTAGCTGGGGTGACAGTCACCTAACAGGGTGCTAACTCCTGAGAGTGGTCAGGGTCATGTGAAGGCGCCACAAGCAATTGGGATGGGGACGCAGAGGAAGCCTGGCCAGTCCCCAGAGTTGGGTCAGATTCTGGCCCCCCTTCTCTCCTATCTGTGTGACTCCAGGCAGTTTCCCCTCCTGTAACATCCAAGTCATGAGCTGAGAGTGTCAGGCAGTGGTGAAGCATCTCCTGCTAGCATGCAAGGGGCCCTGGCACCACCACACAACCCCCACTTCATAACCCTCCAGCCCCATGGGGTAAAGGAATGGGATGGCATTGGTGGAGCCAAGCACAGTGTCACACCTAGAATCCCAGTGACTCAGGAGGATTGAAAGTTGGAGGCCAGCCTCAGCAACTCAGTAAGACCCCATCTCAAAAATAAATAAATAAATGAGAAAGACTGGGGATGTAGCTTAGTGGTGGAACTGTCCAGTAAAACACGCACACGCGTACACACACACACAAATGAACATTGGTGAGTTAAATAAGTTTACATAAAGCACCTAGAACAAGCCCACGCAAGTCTTTTCTGTGGTTCTATGGTTTATTTATTTATTCATCCTTATTTTGTGAAATCCAAGGGCCAGTGAGCACTCTTTGTCCAGGCAGAGGTGGAACGGGGGACCAGGGGGGACAAGATGCTCCTCCCTGAGCTGAGAGGAGCTGATGGGGTTGGAGGAGGAGGTGGCTTAGGAGTCGGGGCTGGGCAGGGGCCTGGGCTCCTGGGCTCCGCTAGAGAGAGGAGAGAGATGGGCAGCTGTGGGCAGCGCCAAGCCAACTGAGGTCTTTGCCGGGGGTGGTGGCCCAGGGTGTTCAGATGAGTCTGGGGTCCCTGAGGCGCTCTGATGTGCCCCCTCCTCCCCGGCCTGTGCCACCAGCTGGCCCTGCCCAGCTGCAGAGCCGGCGGCTACACTCCAGCGCCGTCCTGGCGCTCGTTGCCGACGACAGACACATCGTCTCCAGCAGCGAGGACCACACCCTCGTGGTGTTTGACCGCCGGGCCAACAGTGTCCTCCAGCGGCTGCAGGTGGGCAGGCCCTCCCGGGGTCCCAGAGCAAGGGGCTTTGGCTCGCCCCGCCCCGCCCCACTGAGCTGCCCTCTCCCGCCCGTCCCTCCTGCAGCTGGACTCCTACCTGCTCTGCATGTCCTACCAGGAGCCCCAGCTCTGGACGGGGGACAACGGGGGCCTGCTGCACGTCTTCGCCAGCTGTGACGGCTGCTTCCAGCTTGTCCGGGTCTGCAAGGGCACTTCCCTGCCCATCGTCCCCCCGGGCTGCTTCCTACCCTAGCCCCCAATGCCACGGTGGGAGGCCTGGCCTTGAGGAGACCTTGCCTGAGTGTCACTCGTCCCACCTGCCCCCTGCAGTCCTTCGACGTGGGCCACAGGTCTCAGATCACGGGGATCAAACACTCGCTGGGAGCCTTGTATACCACGTCCACCGACAAGACCTTCCGGGTGAGGAGAGTGCTCACCCCACGGTCCCCGTGGGCCAGAAATACATCTGTTGACCTGTTTTCTGTTGCCCTTCACAGGTGCACGTGCCCACAGACCCACCAAGGACCATTTGTACCCGAAACCACCACAATGTACTAAATGGGGTAAGGACCTGCCCCATGCACCCCGTCCAGCCTTCCCGAAGGGCCATCTGCTGACTCCTCTGTCCCCTGTCCTCCCAGATCTGCGCTGAGGGCGACGTGGTGGTGGCCGCCTCGGGGGGCCTGTCGTTGGAGGTCTGGAGGTTTCAGGCCTGAGCAAGTGGACGCCATGTGTGTTGTATACTGCCGGCCGAAGGCTGAGCCCCGGCCTCTGTTCTTGGGGGACCTTGCCCCCATTGGTGCTGACTCTGCCCCTGCTCCTCAGGCCCGGGATACACAGAGTCCCAGCCCCAGCCAGGGCTGGGCCCCTTGTCTGGAGAAGTGATGTTGTGTTCTGGCCCGCCAAGGGGGCTGCTCCCCCCTCAGGTCCTGGTTTGGTCATGATCTGGACGCCATGCTCTGTGTCAAGAGCAAAAGAAAATAAATCTGATGACCTGTGCAGATGCTCCAGCCTGGGCTCTGTGCTCCGTGAAGCCGAGACACATCCCTGCCTCGGCTGAGATCCTGTGGGTGGCATGTGACAGTGGCCCACCAGGGCTGGGGTACACATGGGGGCCACTGCTGAGTGTATGCGTGCATGCAGGTGTGTGCACGAGGGAATCCTGAGGTGGATGATGGCACCTCTGTGTGTGGATGGTGATTGGAACCCAGGTGTGTGGGTGTGTGGCGGGAGCAGGCATCTGCTGGGGCCGTCCCTAGGAGCCAGGAGCTGTAGGGGTGTGTCTGCTGCTGTGCCCATGACTCTAGAGGTGGTGGGGGAGGAGGGTGGATCAGGTGTGTGCCTGTCCCTGCAAGCCCGCTGTCCCCTGGCCTCCCGTCTCAGCCCAGCCAAGCTCTGCCCCAAGAAGCAATCACTTCATATTTATTGAGGCTCCCTGGGTTGCCAGGGCTGTGGGTAGAATTATGGGGTCACAGGATGGCACAGGGCTTCTTCTCCTTGAAGGGGTTGGTGGCAGCTGGAATGCCCACGAGGAAGGGGTCACTCTTGGCCTGCTCCGTGCAGAACTGTAGTAGGTCAGTGGCTGCCTTGGATACCTGCAGACCGACCCTGTCAGCCAGACTGGCATCTGCTGCTCCTCCGCCCAGGTGTGCCCCCTCCCCTGCCTCCCTCGGCTGCCCCAATCCTCACCTTCACACGGTCGATGCCTGCCTCCATCCTTAGTTGCTCCACCGCCCGGCGGGCCTGTCCAATGTCACTGCCAATGGCCACCTTGCTGGACATCTGAGGGAGGGTAAGCAGGATATGAGCAGTTGGCCTAAGCCCAGACCCCAAACCTAGGGCCACCTGAGGGACCCTGCCCCTCCTCCTGTTGCCCCTGGAGATGATGAGGCGGCTCTTCCACCTGTGGGCTCAGGGAGCTCTGCTGACTGCTCCTGAAGGTGCCTGGCTGCTGGCTGTGTGCAGCCACCTCTGCCTGGCTCCCCTCCCTGCACCCGCCCGGTCTCCCCTCCCAGGTCCCCCTCCCCACCCCTGCAGAGACTTTGAAGCCAGGATTCAGTGAAATGTCACCAGCAGCAGCAGCCGCCTTAGCAGAGGAGGTTCCTGCCCCAGGAGGCCCAGCTGCTCCATAGTGTCACATGTGTCGCAGTGGCCATCCCCAGGGGCTGAGAAGCTTTGTGGGGGATTGAAGAGCCCAGGCCTCTCTGAGCTGCTGGATTCCCTGCCGGCTGTTGCCACCCAGCCTCTTGACAGCTTCTGCCACCCAAATGGCACACAGTATTCCAGGCTCCTCCATCTCCACCGCCTGATCTCACCCAAGATAGGACTCCACTCGCTAATGAGGCCTCTCTCCCCTCCCTGCCCCCTCTTCCCTGAGCTCCAGACCTGGGGACCCACATCCTTCCTCAGCACATCACACTGCTCTGTCACTCAGATATCAAATAATCTCTTTCATTCTTTTCTTTCTTTTCCTCTTCCTCCCTCCCTCCCTTCCTTCCTTTCTTTTGCCCTAGGTTTGAACCCAGGTACCTGTACCACTGAGCATTTAGTTTTTTGAGTCAGTGTCTCACTAAGTTGCCAGACTGGCCTTGAACTTTTTTTTTTTTTTGAGTATAAATATGAAGATTTTATTTTTGAACTTTCTTGTATTTCATTGGTCTATATATCTATATATTTATGTCAATACTACTTTTTAAAAAATATTTATTTACTTATTTATTTTTTGGCAGACACAACATCTTTGTTGGTATGTGGTGCTGAGGATCGAACCCTGGCCGCACACATGCCAGGCGAGCGCGCTACCGCTTGAGCCACATCCCCAGCCCTGTTAATACTACTTTTATTTTTTTTTAAATTTTAAATCTTTTTTAAAATTTTGATTTGTTATATATGACAACAGAATGCATTCAATCCATATTACATATATAGAGCACAATTTTTCACCTCTGGTTGTGCACAAAGTAGAGTCACATCCTTTGTGTCTTCATACATGAACTTGGGGTAATGATGACATCACGTTCCAGTCTTTCCTACCCCATGCCCCCTCCCTTCCCCTTTGCCTTGAACTTTTTAACAAAAAGCCTTTTGTAGTTGTGGAAGCACAGCATGCCTTGGTTTTACTTATTTTTAGGCAGTGCTGAGGATGGAACCGGTGCCTCACACGTGCTAGGCAAGGCCTCTGCCACTGAGCCACAGCCCAGCCCTGGTCCTGAAGTTAGTGATCCTCCTGCCTCAGTCTCCTGAGTAGCTGGGATGACAGATGTTTGCCACCACACCCTGCTCTTATTCACCTCTAACCTCACTTGGCAAAACAGGACCCTGAATCATGTCCCCCAAGACCTTCTGTCCTCTAGTCAAGGTCACTACTGTCCCCAACCACTCAGCCCAGATTTCCAACATCTCCATCCCTCTTTCTCTGATCCTGACCCAACTAACCCTGTCTCAGGTGCCATAAGATCAGCTTCAAATTAGGTTCTCTCTCTGGTCTCTTCCGCCCTTCACACCACCTGGACCACGGTGGTCACCTACGTCCTGGTCACAGCCTCCCCTCTGTCCTGGCCTCTCCCCTGGCTGTTTTCCTAAAGGCAGCCAGTGTGATGTGTAGAACAAAAATAAAAAACCTCTCCCGCGGACACAGCTCACTCTCCTGGCCACAGTCCAGGGCGCCACCGGCCGCCTGCCCCTCTGCAGTTTCCTTCTTTTTTTTTTTTTTTTTTTTGAGACAGGATCTTGCTATGCTGCGCAGGCTGGTCCCAAACTCCTGGCTCAAGTGATCCTCCTGCCTCAGTCTCCTGAGTAGATGGGACGTGCAGGCAGGTGACACCATGCCCGGCTCCCAGGTTACTGGTCATCAGCCCCCCTCCCTTACCCCTCAGGGAGCACCATGATGCCCTGTGTTAGTCTGCTCCAACTGCCGGGACAAATTATCAAGAGTAGTGGCTTAAGTAGCATGAATCTATTTCCCATAGGCTGGAGGCTGAATGTCAGAGATCAGAGTGCTGGCAGGATGGTCTCCCCTGAGACTGGTCTTCTTGGTTTATAGAGGGTCACCTTCTCGCTGCGTCCTCACGTGGTCTTTCCTCTACACGCACATTCCTTGTGTCTTTTTGTGTGTCCATATTTCCTTTTATAAGGACACCAGTTAGATTGTATTAGCACCTACCTAATGACCTCATTTTAACTTTATTACTCTTTAAAGACCTGCTCTGGGGGCTGCAGTTGTGGCTCAGTGGTAGAGCACTTGCCTAGCATATGAGAGGCACTGGGTTCGATTCTCAGCACCACTTAAAAATAAGTAAATGATCCCAGCGGCTCAGGAGGCTGAGGCAAGAGGATTGCAAGTTTGAAGCCCGCTTTAGCAACAACAAGGCCCTATGCAACTCAGTGAGACCCTGTCTCTAAATAAAATACAAAACAGGGCTGGGGATGTGGCTCAGTGGTTGAGTGCCCCTGAGTTCAATCCCCAGTCCAAAAAAATTAATAAAATTAATTAATTAATTAAAGTATTGTGTCAATGTACAACTAAAAACAAAAGACCTTCCCCAAATACCAACTCATTCTGAGATACTGGGAGTAAAGACTACATGTATTTTATGGGGACAAAGGTCAACTATTAACATTTTTTTTTTTTGATGCTGGGTGGAACTTAGGGCCTTGTGAATGCTCAGCATATGCTCTACTACCCCGCTGCTTCCTCCGTCTTTGCTGAGACTCTGTGTGCCCAGCACCAGGCATAAGCAAGAATAAGCACCCTCCCCATTCTTGTTCCTGGGAGATGATGGCAAAGCCACTGAGAAAGAGATGACATTTGGGGCTGGGGACGTGGCTCAAGCAGTAGCGCGCTCGCCTGGCATGCGCCAGCCTGGGTTCCATCCTCAGCACCACACACATACAAAGATGTTGTGTCCGCTGATAACTAAAAAATAAATATTAAAAAATTCTCTCTCTCTCTCTTTAAAAAAAAGAGATGACATTTGAAGGAGAATATGAGAGGCTGGGGATGTGGCTCAAGCGGTAGCATGCTCGCCTGGGATGCGTGCGGCCCGGGTTCGATCCTCAGCACCACATACCAACAAAGATGTTGTGTCCGCCGAGAACTAAAAAATAAATATTAAAAATTCTCTCTCTCTCTCTCACTCTATCTTAAAAAAAAAAAAAAGAGAATATGAAATAAAATCAAGGGAAGGGGGGATGGTAGCCTCAGGGAGTGACTAGAAAAAACTATGACCTTTCTGTTTTTACAGATATTGTTAAAGAAAAAAGTAGGGGGTGTGCCCACAACAGAAACCTTGGGCTCAAAAAAACACCTTAGTCTGTTAACAGTAATTTGAATGAAGGATTCATATTCTTACAGAAGAGAAATAAAATATAGGTTTCTTTAGAGAACTACTTAAGAAATGCTTGGGGAGGGTGCTATTTCCAAGACTCAAAATGATTCTGGGAGGGAGTCACAGTGCCAGGTATAGGGTGACGGGACAATGATCACTGCCAAAGGCCTTGGAGAAAATCTATTATCACACAATGCAGGTAAAAGAGAATGGGACAACAAAAGGTCATCAAGGTGCCAGCCAACATTCTTGGACCGAGCATTCGTCATGTTAAGTCCAAAAGGCATGGGGTACAGGTGCCGGAAACGTCAGCCAGTGGCACAGCCTGCAGTGATTCCCCAAAGTCACGTGCTCCCGTGGAGTGAAGCCATCATTTTTTTGTTTGTTTCCTCTGTGGTTACGACAGTCAATCTTTATGAGCCACACTGAGGTGCCTACATAGCACAAGGGGCTTGCAAGAAGCCAAGTTCCTTCAGGAACTTGTGAAAGGCTTAATCCCAGTGCTGCCGATACTCCAGTCTTTCCAGACCCCAGCACATATGTGTCAAATTCAGCCACAATCACTTGGCCTTCCTGATGTTCCTCCTCACCAATACCATAAGAGACTGATGGGGCACTGGCGGGGCAAGTAGAGCCAAACCACGATATCCTTCCTTGTCGGAAGGAGCTGACCTGTACTGAGGGGATAGTCCAGCTCTTGAAGTTCAGCTGGGAGTTTGTTCTCTGAACATTTGGTCTCTTGGAGGCACAGGATATCTGGGGCTTCTTCCTTTACCCAATCTAAATCTGAGATCATGGATTTGACACCCATTTTATAGGTAGACGTTGGCAGACATGCTGATGGGTGTGAGGTGTGACGGAATGGGCAGTATCCAACTCAACGCCAGGCTCAAGTATAGCTTAGTGGTAGAGTGCATGCTTAGCTGCAAAAAGGCCCTGAGTCTGACACTCAGCAAGGCAACAGAGAAATACTACAAAATATCCACTTCCCAGTTGGATTATTATTATTATTTTTGAATATTTATTTTTTAGGTGTAGATGGACACAATGCCTTTATTTTATTTACTTATTTTTATGTGGTGCTGAGGATCGAACCCAGGACCTCACCCATTCTAGGCAAGCTCTGTACCACTGAGCTACAACCCCAGCCCCCCCCCCCCTTGGATTATTTTTCAATTAAATGTTTTTTGAGATGGGATTTTTCTTTTTTTAGCACCAAGGATTAAACCCAGGGATGCTTAATCTCTGAGCCATATCCTCAGCCCTTGTTGTATTTTGAGAAAGGGTCTTGCTGAATTACTTAGGGCCTTGCTAAATTACCGAGGCTGGCTTTGAACTCACAATCCTCCTGCCTCAGCCTCCAGATCACCTGGGATTACAGGCATGGGCCATGGTGTCCAGTTGAGATGGGATCTTGCTATGCTACATAACCTGGCACCAACTCCTGGAGCTCAAGTGGCCTTCTCGCCTCAACCTTCTGAGCAGCTGGGACTTCAGGCATGAACCACCATATCCAGCTCTTATTATTTATTTATTTATTTAATTTTAATATCTTTGTGCTGGGATTGAATTTAGGGCCTTTCTACCATTGAGCCACACCCCAAGTCAACTCTCCAGTTTTTAGCTTAATAAGGGAGTGGAGAGTGGGATCATTTTTTGAGATGCAGAAGGATCAGGATTACTTGGAGAGAAAATTGAGAGCCAGGTGAGTATGTCAAGGAGGAAGCTATGTTCATACAATAAAGTATGCTCATTTCCAGCCTCAGCGCCTTCCTACTGCCTGTCCCCTCTTCCAGTGTGTGTGTGGAGGGGAGGAGAATGGCCTCCATTCAGATCTTCATAGGAGGTCTCTCTTGGTCTTCTAAATGTCACCTCTTTGACATTTTTCCCTAATCATCCGTCCCTCCAATTAAGGATACCAACCCCTTCATTCATTCCCACCCAGAGGCTCTCGAATCACTGCTGAATTCCTCAACAGCACTTACTGAAAGAAAAATAACCGAGAGGAGGATCAGACCTCAAGGAATAAGCAAGCTTTCTTTATTAAGCAGCGGAATAGAATATTTTCAGGGGAGAA